ACTTTTTCTGCTTCTTTCTCCTCCTTTTCCTTTCAGATCGCCCCCAAGCGATGACGCCTGGCCATGCAGAATGGCCATGTGGTCATCCACCCTTTTCTACAAGCAAACTGGCAACTGCATCAGCAGCTAGATACTTCTTAAAGTTGAGTGAGGAAATCAAGACAAGACAGTCAACAGCATGGCTCAAGGGAGCATTGACAATGTGGAGGTGAAGGGACTGTGACTGTTTCTTTGATGACGTGATGCTATTCTGTTTTTATGATGCACTGAACTTTTCATCCTACTTCCTTTCATTCTGTACATATCATCATTTATTATTTCATTATTAAAAAGCTATATAAAATGCCACTACCTTCTTCATTATTAAGCCTAACCTCATCCTACACACACATATATATACAGTGGTGGCCAAAATTGTGGACACTTTTGGAAATTTTCATGTTTTTGAACTTTGTATGCTTATAGAAAATGTTACGCTTCACAAAATGCAAACTTGTATATATCATTTTAAAGAGAATTTATTACTGAATTCAATAGAAAACACAAAGTTCAATTATTTGCAATACCAAAAAAAAAGTTAAACGATAATAGTTATCGATATACTTTAGATAGTGATGATTGCAGTGAATTAGTACTTAGTAGGGTACCCTTTATTTTTTATTACAGCTTCACATCGACGTTTCATTGAGCTGACAAGAGTTTTAAGCTCTTCTTTCGTTATTACATGATGCCAGGAAACAATTATAGCCTCAATTAGTTCCCTTTTATTTGATGGGTGCCTCATATGGACAAGAGTTTTTAAACGGTGCCACAAATTTTCGATAGGATTGAGGTCAGGATTGTTTCCTGGCCATGACAACAATTTAATGCTCTTTGTACGAAACCACTATTTCGATATTTTGGCCGTGTTGCAAGGAGCAGAATCCTGCTGAAAAATAAATGAAGCATTGTTGGGAAAGAGATCTCTGATGGAAGGTAGAAGTTTTGGTTCTAGAATACTGTCAATGTATTTTCTGGCATTCAATGTCCCATCGATGACATGAAGGCGACCAATACCATCTGCTGACATGCATGACCAAATCATAACACTAACTGGGTTCTTCACAGTTGCTTGAATGCAGTCAGGATGTAGATCTTCTCCTATTCTACGTCTTACATATTTTTGCCATCACTACCGAATAACAATATCTTAGTTTCATCACTCCATATAACTTTTGACCACTGATCATCTGTCCAATTAATGTGTTCCTTTGCCCACTGTAGTCTTTTCTTTTTTTTTTTTTTTTTCGTTGCTGAAAATTAAGATAAGGCTTTTTTCGTGGAATTCCACCTCTCAGCCCAACATCTGTTAATCTTCTCCTGATTGTTCTTGAACTGACAGAAACACCAGCATCATTCAGATCACTTCTGATGGCCGCTGATGACATTTTTGTATATTGGAGACATAGTCTTTTTATTCTTCTGTCATCAATAGATGTGTGTGGTGCACCATTTTTGACCTTTTCCTTCTTTGTTTTTTTATTGAATTTGTCTCCTGATATCGTAAAGAAAACTTTTGGACTCCAGATTTAATCACTGAATCACCCACCTGTCTTGCAATTTCAGCATAGGAAAGACAATAATATTACATCTCTTTCTAAGTGTTCAATCTTACTTTTTTATTTGATGTCATTGCTTCTTGACTAAATATTAAAAATTTTTACAAAAATTCCTACATGTTATTGCAGTGTATAAGAAACAGGTCCTCCTTCTACAGAACAAAGCAAAATAATGAATTGTTTCAAGTGTAAACATGATGTCAGCTTCTACTGACAGTTACTAACATTTGATTGGTTCTCACAACAAGAACAGTGATTGGCCAGGAAAGCTAGACATTACAAACCACTTCATAACTGTGTTTTTTATTTACATTAAAGTGCATATAACTTTTCTTGCATTGCAAATAATTTTGTGTTTTGTATTGAATTCAGTAATAAATTCTCTTTAAAATTATATGTACAAGTTCGCATTTTGCGAAACGTAACATTTTCTATAAGCATACAAAGTTCAAAAACATAAAAATTTCCAAAACTGTCCACAATTTTGGCCACCACTGTATATATATGTGTGTAATGAGATGGCTTGTATGTGTGTAATGAGAAAGTTGGAATGGATTGATGATGGTTGTTTGCATTATAATTTAAAGAGACTTTACTGCATGACACTTAAGAAAGATGGCACTTAAGAGACAAATGCGGCTGCAAATTCCACACATAATTTTATTCCTTGATAATGCACATCAACACTGTGGGTGTACTATGCACCTCAACCCCCCCACCCGATTTATAGAGCTTACATCTTCTTAGACAATGGACAAAAATAGATAAATAAACTCTCTGTGCTTAGCAGCAAGGAGATACAGCAGAAACAAAAGTGGAAGCAGAAGAGGAAGGGAATTCAGCAGCAATTACCTTTTATACCAGATTTCATTTCAGATCACATGACAGATTCATTTCCAGATGTTGGATTAAGATTTCATGGATAAGTACACAATTGAGATTAGATGACGGATCTTATTGAGAAATTTTTTAATTTCTCTGTAAATTTCGCACCAAATTTTACAAAATTTAATATCTAGGCATAATTTGAGTTGCAGAATCGAAATATGGAAAAAAATTTATATGTTACTTCAGAAAACATCCAATTTTGTGTCAAAATACTTATGTTAGAACAATGCTATATATAAATCTAATATATATATCCTAAGTTGTGCCTTCAAGATATGAAAAACACAATTTGAATTTTGTCAATTGGCCCAGTAGAACAAGAGATATAGAACTGTTCCATTTTTTTCCGCTGTGTACTTAAAGTGTCAATAGAAATCTTTTAATGAAACAAACTGTAAAAATTTGTTCTGCCACTAAAAGTTTTCTATGAATATATATTTATATATTGCATTTAATGAAGTTATACTTAACATACACACACACACACATATATTGTATGTATATATAAATGCAATTCATTAATTAAAAATATAAAATGTAATAAAAGGTTGCTACTTGGCTATTAGCTAGCATCTGCTACAACACTACCAACAATGTATTAGCATCTTTTGAGACTGAAATATATTTTTAATAGTTGAAGCTTGATAATTTTTATTTAGTTTTTTAATAATTCTAGCAGGTACTGTCTGGCAATTACAGTCAAAGTCACATCAAATAGCTTGTAATTTTCTGCAGCTTGTCTCTGCTAAATAAAGAAACTCAATTTCACTTTAACCAACTTTCAGCTTTATTTTTACACATTGTAAGCAATTTAACATTGCATTACCAAAGCACATCTCTCATGACATAATGTCAATGAATGAGAATTGGAACTCAGGAATTTTTTGTAAAATACCATATTCCTAGAAATAATTGATTGTTTCTCATAAGTAATATTTTTTAGACACAACTTGTTGTGAGTGATTTTTCTCAGATTTTACATACTAATGAGCAAATGCAGCTTCATCCAGATAAATTCTGATCTGTAGCTGTTAATTTGCTGCTTTAATAACATTTTATGAAAATGTCTATCACAGAAGAGCAGATTGTGCATTTCATGCTTTAAAAGTATAAAAATGCAATGATGCAGTGGAGAGATCCAGTAACCGATAACCAGATTTTCTGCTACCTAATTCGAGATGAACTTGCTTGGAATGACCAGCTGTGGCCAGGAGAAATAACAAGGCTGTTTGCCTTACACATAAATTTCCCCCTGCACCAAAAAGAAAAACTCTCAGAGAACATTCGACAGACAGACAAGAACTTCAGCAGACTTTGTTCATCATCTGTTTTTGTAATCCCCCCTTTTTACTTCCTTGTACGAAGTAAAAAGGAAGTATTGTAATCGCGAAAAGTTTCAGGCAGCATATTTCAACGAAAATATCCATTTTAACCGCTATCGAATGCAATTTAACGATGTTTTTGCATGATATCTGTACGTAAGGACAGAATAAAATACTCTTTTCCTTCAAAAAAAATTATAAAACTGCTTTAAAATTAATTCTGAAGAGAATTTTTCGTGGCGTCTCTACAAACGTATCTCGCATAACTCAAAAACAAGTAGCCTCAGAACGTTGAAATTTTGTATATAGGACTGCTATAACATGTAGATGTGCACCTCGTATTTTGGTTGCAATCGGCCGCACCAAACGTATATAAATATATTTATATATATGAGGGCAATCCCAAAAAAAAGGTCTCCTATTTTTGGGGGACATAGAGAAAGTTTTAATACGGTTGTTGGCAACACTGTTGGTGAGTAGTGCCTTCTCCGCTACCACATAAGCACGCAGGCGCTTCGCTCGGATGCTCAGTCTTGGCTTGGCAGCCATTCGAAATGGAGCTCCCGATAAACGTTACCGCCAAGTGCGAAGTGTGCGCAGTTATTCGATTTTGAACGCAAAAGGTGTTAAACCGGTTGAAATTCACCCCCTATTGATGTGTATGGACAGTCGTGCATGGATGTCAAAAGCTTTCGCAAGTGGTGATTAAATTCCCATACTACTATTTATTTATTTCTTTAAAATCTATTTCGAAAAAATACTTACCTGACTACATATTTTATTTCTCAGCAAATCTAATAAAGACAGTAAAAATTAGAACAACATATGTTGTTCCAAGCCTTTCTGCAGGAAAAGAGTAACAAAAATTGCCATGCAGATATACATTTAGTCTAAGTGGGATAAAACTGATGTTGAAATAAAAACTTCACATCCTTTCTTAACCAAAAAAAGAGAATATTAATAGAAAAAGAAAACATAAAAAGTCACCCTGTCCAAAAGAATTCAGAACAATCTTCCAAACTGCTGCAGCATTTGCTGGAAAGCAGCCATGTGTGGTAATATTCATGGTATATTTGCAGGTGTTAGCTTATATCCAAGTACCAAAAGATTTTGTATAAATGAAGTGATAATTTAGACATTTTTATTCAAAAATAATTGTTATAAAAATACAATTGAAAAGAAATTTTCATACCAAGCACCCATATTTGGAATGCCAACAGCATAGATAACAGCAACTATAAATTGGAAGAAAAATACAAAGAAAAACACCATGAAGTTGAATGAGCTGTCTGACCTAAATTAGAGAGAATATATTTTATATATAATGCATTTTTGTAATGATCTTGGAATGCACAGAAAGAAACAAAAAGCACTTATGTAAATAAAACTTTACAATTTCTTTGTTGCATATTTAATTTTAAAAAGAGCATTCCTGAAAACCTAATAATGGAACTTATTAGGTTTACACAATTCAAAACATGTAATATTGATAAAAACATTTTGCACTTTGTCATATATGTAATGAACTAACTTAAAACATATAAATCTACATAAAGGATAAAAAAAAATCAGCATATGTAATACAGAAAAAATAGTACTTAAATATTTTGCCATTGATTATTTTGACAAAGACCAAAAAAAAAAAAAAAAATATCAAATAAGGTGGTTTAGCACCAATAATGGATAAGGATGATGTCACAATACACTCGTAAGGTCTTTGCTTTGGTTTATGTAATCCCAATAAATTCTTGATAAAACACCATGGAAGTATTCAACTTGCTTTCTTTTTTCATCTACAACTCTTTTGTACTCTTGGACAGACAAAAAAAACTAAAGAATTATGAACTGCAAGAGTTGAACATTTTCAAGTTACAATCCATTATAGGCAATTTAATGTGATGCTGAGTTTCACAAGTTTTTTTTTTTTTTTTTAATTTTCTATTTATCATTAGAAAGTTTCTGTGTCTGGAATGACTGCTACAAGTTTTAATGAATTTGTCAAATAACCTCATATCTTCAGCTTGTATTTATTAAAGTTCTTTATATGCTCTACCCGCAATTTGTATATACAGATTATGCAATTGAAGAAAGAGTGATCTGAGATTAAATAAAGAGCCATCTGTTCAAAATTCTACCAAAATGGTAAGCACAAATTTGACAGCATATCCACCAACTTTCATGATCAACAGGATAGTATGTAACCACCGAAAAATCTCAATACTCATACAGTGAAATATTATATATATTCAGCACAGAATTTTCAGTTACATAGTACAAGTACAGAAACTGATTATTTCTGCAAATATATAAGTAGGTTGGGGCAAAAATCATGGCAACTATATTTTTCCTTGAAGATACCAGTCCGGTTGGAAAATGTGGCATATACAGACGAAAAGACAAGGTCTTAACTACATGTGTGGGCAATGAATAGCACTGAAATATTGTAACATACGAATTTATTACGGTAGTATACAGGGCAATATGGCCTTCCCCTTGCAAAAGAATAATAGCACAATACACATAAAGTTGACATGAAAAACCTGGGCCTAAAGACCCACAATGTAGTCCCCTGCTATAACTACATGCTGCCAACGATGTGGGAGGCGCTGAATACAATCAGCCTCAGCATTTGCCACACCATGTGGGAATCGGTTCACCTGTTGGTGCACAGCATTAGCAATGTCCTCTTATGTTGCAAACTGCCTACCACATATTGGTTCCTTAATCTTGGGAATGAGATCAAAGTCACAGGGCGAATAGTCGGGAGACTACGGTGGGTGCTCCAATTCTTCCCATCTCCAACCTCAGAGTAGCTGCCGTACACACTTTGCTTTATGTGGTCTTGCATTGTCGTGCAGAATTATTGCACTGTCCACAAGATACGAACATTTATCCCGAACGCCACGTCGTACCTGTCGCACCAGGAAGTACCTGTAGTACTGTGTGGTCACTGTTCTGCCATGAGAAACAAAGTGGGAAACAATGACACCCCTGACATCATACGTGAACGATCACCATCAATTTGACTGGGGAAGGATTCTGACGGATCCAGGATGTCGCCACTCTGCGGACTGATGTTTCAGTTCTGGTTCGTATGCCCTGGCCCAAATTCATCGATGGCGATTATTCGTGACAAGAGTTGATCGTTGTTCTGTTGCAAGCGTGCAAAGTGGTCGGAGCATGTTGCATAACGCACCCACCTTTGAACTTCCGTCAGTACATGCGGTACCCACCGTGAAGCAATTTTGCGTAGCTGTAGCTCATTGTGCAATATCCTGTGGACGGTGCATTTTTTTATGTCACTTGCCCTCTCTAACTCCAGTAACGTCCATCATCTATCCTAATCTATGAGGTGCTCGATGACGGCACGTGCCAAGTCGGTCTGCATGCTCACCGGTCGTCCCGAACGTTGCTCATCACTGGTTGACACATGTCCTTGCTGAAACTTTCCTAACACCGTTTTACTGTACGATATGGCAGGGCATTATTTCCAAGGGGTTCTACTAATTCACTCTGACATTCCATCGCATTTCTCCCTCGGAGAACGGCTATTTTGATGTAAGCTCGCTGCTCAACACGGGTTACTTCCATCTCGCACAACACTCGCCAACTGACTGATTTCAGAGCCCTCGCTATCACAGAGACATCTGTTGTTCTGCATATACACTATGCCTGCAGAACTTCCACACGATTATTTTAGGTTTCACAATTCCACGATTATTTTAGGTTTTAATAATCAATATGTCACTTTTATCATTTGATATATCTCTGCCAATGACACATGTATGAAATTAGCAAATCAGTACTTTCTTATTATAGTGGCCCTCAAGATTGAACTGCTAATCAAGTAAAACATTTTGGCGAAATCTAGCCGTATATTCTTATACCTCACTGCATTATATTTTTGCTTTTGCAGCGTGCTCTTATATTAGCATTCTGTTTCATTTTTGTTCAAAAGTTTCAAATTCCTATTAAAGTTTTAAAAATAGTTCTTGTTTTTTTGTGAATATGTGGTTAACGATCTTTTTAATTTACCAAATATAGAATATAAACACAGAAATATATATCATTTCTTCAAAAAAGACATCTTTACCTGAAAAGCAATTGGCAAAAATGGACACAGCATGAAACTATATGCTTACAACGAAACTATTTGGAACTGCAATGTTAAAAATTGTAAAAGAAAAAAAGGCCTTCATGTTGGAAACTGATCATTTGACACTGCTATTAGATTTATGTATTTTTAGGCACAGGAGTTGACATCCATCAAATGGTATGACAAACAGTTTAATACAAATGTTCCCCACATCTGAAGCAAAGACTCAATGAGCTAATAGGCAGTCCTAATAAAATAGTTGAGATCAATGATTTTTTTTTTATCTGATGTAAGAACAACAGTGACAGAGCACTCCTACAATAGTGGATTTTTGGAGGACTATGCTGGGAGTATGGGGAGTGCTTTGTCGTTCAAATCTCGAATAGAGATGTTAGTACATTTATGGAGAAAATTACTCAACATATACAAGATGGATCAGGGATCTACTGAGACTGCTGGAAGGGATATAAAATGAAACAGCTTTAAGAAGCTGATTAAACTGGAAACCATAAGCACAATTTTGTAGATCCAATGAGTATTCACACCCAAAATGAAGAAAGAATGTGGGGTTTAGTCAAGTGACATAATAAAAATAACGGGCATAGTTCGACATTACCTCGAATCATATCTTTTCGAATTTATGTGGGAAATGTACATAGGAAAAAATTATGTTTTTGATATATCATTGAAAGCAATTTCGGAAATATCACCTTGTCATAAAAATATTCTCAGTAAACAACATGTGAGTATTACTATTATTACTGTATATTGTGTCATTTAATTTTATCTTCGTGCTTCACGAGCTGGTAAGTTATATCGGTTGAATAATGATTCAGTCTTACAGGCCCCTAAAATAAAGAAGTACTGAATTTTTAATTACATAATACATGTATGTAATATGAATGCAAGACTGTATGCAAGTATGAATGCAAGAATATCCCAAATTAAATTCGTCTTATAATTCAATGAAAAAATTCGCAAAAATTTCTAAATCTAAAAGAAAAAAAACAAAAAAACACTTACCTGAAAGCTTTATACAGTGGTCGAAACCAGCACAGAAAAGACATTGGACTGAACAGAAAGAAAATTAATATTGAAATACCAAATGTATTGCCTTCCCCATTAGCTATAAACACAGCAAGTGCTCCCAGCATATTCAGAAACAGAAGGAATGAATAAACTGAAATGAAAATAAGGGAACATACATATTTAATATATGCCATAACATGAATTACCTAAAAATTTAGAATTTAAATAAATTAGTTAATGCAATATAAAGCACACATTACCATAAATCTAACATTCCTGAAGTGAAATTTTATTTCCAACTATTAGAATCAAATGCATTGCTGAAGGTGATACGATTTAAAACTAAATAAATAAAATATGAGATAAATAACTATCCTAGCTGAACAAATAATTTTCCAATTAGCTGCTTTTACAAAGGGTTTCGTAATAATGATAGCTTGATACACTAGACATTCATATACATATAGGATTAATATAAATTTATACAGAGAAATAACAATAAATGTGCTGATAGACCACGAATAGCAAATAAAATCATACATGAAATATAGGAAAGCTTTTTTAGAAGAAAGGGGAAATAAACATCTAGATAAAAATTCAACGTAAAAATATCTTTCATCGAGTCCAAAGAGAATTTGCAAAAAGCATCAAAACTGTTATTACAAGATGGAGATACATTAGATGAAGAAATCAATATTGAGACTTTCAAGTTAAATGTGGAAAATGCGTTTCCAATTACATGCAAGATAAGCATTACTTCTTGCATTTAAATTAAGCAAATTTCAATCTTGAAGGAAAGACTATCTCGAATCTTACCACATAGTTTGTGAGAACTGATGCAAAATTTTTTGCTGAAAGTATAACTGACTTTGTCTTTAATTTGACAGTTTTTAAGTTGATAACATTAAAAAATTTATTAATTGCATTTTTGAACATAAATTAAAATGCATACTATTTAAAAACCACTCTCAGCTGGGGGAAAAAATTAGAACTCCTAATTGTGTGTAATGTTTTACTACAGTTGAGTTTTCACAGGCAAGAGTAATGCGTCTACAGGTCATCTACAGCTAATTACATAAAATTATGGTCCATACAAAAGGCTATCTATCTATATATTAAAATATCCCAACAATGTAAATAAATATGATATACTTAATAATTTAGATACAGCAAAACATGCTATTATGGCATAGCTTACATCTATGTTTGGGATGCATTCTTTGAGATGGATAGAGAGCCCTGCATCTTAGCCCATTGAAACTTCAGTCTGAAAATATACAGACAATATCCTGGACAATTATGAATGTCTTTACAAATATTCCAAAGATGATCCTTTTTACATATCAAACTCAACTAGAAGAACAAGACTTTAAAGAAATTATCAATATGTGAACAGAATTTACCACAAGGACTTTGACATCTTTTACATCAAAATGGAATGTGCTCTAAGGGGATATATCACTATCCTAAAATTGTCAGCCAATGCCAACAAAGAACTTAAAGCTTGATCAACAGAACAATGTGGGCACATCAATATTAATCCTGCAAGTGGCCAGACTTTCTTATTTTAGTTTCTTAAAGTTATTCACTCTATGCACTGTAACAATTTTGACACACTTGGTTTCATGTAAATCTGATTAATTCTCACTAAACCAGCTTACTTTATGTAAAAAAATGTAAGTTACCTATTTTTAAAGTTGCAGGGTCCTGTCATCAACAGCAGTGTGAGATAGCTCTCTAATCAGACAAACCATACATTCATGTTCAAAAACATTTGTCACAATACCTTTAAAGTTTCCGCACATGAATCTTGATATATGCTCAGAAATTAAAGTCTTATATACACTGGTCACATTGTATACTGGTCACAAAGTAATCAAGTTACAAAATGAAAGGATCATTTTGGAATTATAATCAAGAAAATGCCACTTATTTATTGTCTTTGCACAGCTTTTAAGGTTTGAGGAATAAAATCATTGCTTACTTGGAGAATTAATGGGAACTATATGGCAATTTTATTTGAAAATGACTAAACAAATGCAATGCCAGGTGGAAAATTATAATAAGGAGCTTAAAATTTTTATATGCTATAACTGTAACTTAAACCTACAGATTATCTAACAAAAAAATATCTAATAACTAATAAAGATATATGAGTGTAACTTATGCCTACAGATTACCTAAATAAAGAAACATTTAATAATTAAATAAAGATACCTAATTAACTAAACATTCTTTTGAACTCCTGCCAGAATAACTGCCACAACTTTAGATACATCTCTGCCCTCTGATAATCGAGAGGATTTCATAATCAGATGTGTTTTACTTTTGTACATTTAAGGCCTACAGAATTTGCCTTTTATGTCATATGTAATTTTTCAAAATCTTGCATGACTTACTTACAAATACTGGCTATTGATATTCAAATCGGTAACAAAAAAGATGATTGTATTTTATAACTATAAGATGGGAAAATTTTGTCATTCATTTGGGTTTCTACCATGATATTCATTTTCTATATGCTTAACTATGTGGAATTTTCACATATCCTGCATTTGGCATTTTCAAAGTTTTCTGGATAGTTGAGTTTTTACTGTGCTTATAATGCAGTTGAAAGAGATTTTTTTTCCTTCAATTCATGAAAACCACTGTACCCAGAGTCAAAATTAATACAAAAAACTGAACATTTTTACAAACACAAAATATTTCCAAAAATTAAATAAAACCTAAAATTTAAAAAGTCAAATTCCCCCCCTCCCCCCCTGGTATGTATAAGTTTTCCATGTCTGATAATATAGAATATACATGTTGCGGTTACGTGTACCTCTGATAATTTAGAAAGTCTTTTACATTACTTACATATCCACATATAATACATAAGTCTCACAGTTCTTTGATATGCATTTGGAATTTCAACAGATATATCTTGATAAAAGCAAGGCCCAACACAACATTTTGCTGGCAAAGGAGGCCAGTTCTTACCACTGCCTGAAAATAAACAAATATAAATCTCAATTAGAAATAATCTCCTACTCAGATTTCAGATAAAATAAAATGCATAAATATTGTTTTTATGAATAAAATGCAATAACTTTTTATGGCAGATTCACTTTTTAAGAACATAATATTGAAAAACAAATACGAAGTAACCTGAACTCATTGATTGCCAAAGCAAAATCTGGTAAAATACTCTGTCAGGTTACTTTTTAATTCTAGCATTTTCTTGTCCTATTTATTCTAAAAATCAGTTCAGTACCTAGTTGTATTTGACATAAATAATTATTAATTAAAAGTTATTACACCAAAATACATATTAAAATCTTACAATGATTTATGGATAAATGCTTCCAGAAGCCGGAAACCAAAAATATGGAGCAACTTTCGGAGGCCACAGAAATAATTTTGATTACATAAATCTGTGTGTTTGTGAAGCACCGGTGACTCACACGACTTCAAACAATACAAAAACCTATGAATTACATTCAATGCACATGGCAAAAAGTGAGACTGCTGTAAACCACCGGTTATGCACGTGACAGTCGATGTCCTAAGCTAATTATGTTATCATAATAAATAACATATCATAAAATTAACTGAATTTTGTATTTTTTATTCTTAATGTATGAAGCTAACACAAACCAACTTAAAACTCTATTATTTTCTTCACGTATGTTAATATACAGTCAAAAGTCTTTAATCCGGACTCGTCGGGACTTTGGCAATTCCACATTATCGGTTTTTCCGGATTATAGATCATCAATTTAAATCTGGTAAGATGGCATGCAGAAATTATAAAATTACAAATATGAAACAGTAACTTATGAAGTAAAGAGCAATTATGATCTAAAGGATATAAAAATTAACAAAAAAAGGTTTAATATTTATTTGTTTACTTTATTAAACATTTCTTTCAACATGCGCATGCGTAAAGCATACATTACGCATAGTCGAAATTAGAAAATTGCAACCAGAAAACTATTTCATGTGTAATCATGATATTTAGAATGACGAGGAATTTGATTTAAATCATATCAAAGACGGAGTACATTGAGATGAAATACTACATTTAGTAAGGAATTCTGACAGATCAACTTCCAGTTCATTGCATGCCGCGTTGAGTATTTTATGGCGTATGTTTTGGAAACTCTATTATGGTGTGATTGGTTATACTGCACGATTTTGATTATTTGGGATAATATTTCTCAGTGTTTATTTCTGCATTGAATGTCAGTTAAGAAGTATGTTGCCTATTTTGTGCTTTACACCATAAAATGGCTGCCAGTGTTAATATTAACCTGAAGTTTCTGTATGGTTTGAAATGAAAGCATTGACTGACTGATGTGTAAATGAAGGTTTAACCCGTTCAGTACGGACGTGTCATATGTGCATCAGCAGCGAGCATTACCTTGCGGCCCGGTGTCATTATTTGAATCGCCATTTAATTCACTCTACCGGCCGGGAGTAACACATTTGACTTTTTAGATAGAACGTTTAATTAATATTTTTTTGCTGCTAGATGTAGCTGTATGTCTGTTATGGGAAAATATATCGAAAGTTAAGTATGTCTACCTTCATTCCTATGCAATGATTTTTATTTTTGGTATTTTGTTTCGGAATGAGAGTGAGATTCATGAGTGGGTGCTGAGCAATGTAATGTCTCTTTAACTGCATTATTTGATATAAACAAATTCACATGCTCTCACTGCATTGACTTACTTTTTATTTTTGTTTTTGCGATATAGTGGGACAGACGTTTATCATTAGAGATTTTTTTATTACTCTTATATTTTTCCTTTTTTTTTTTATTACTCTTAGATTTTTCGTGCTTTGTGATGAATATATTTAATCGTCAGCGACACATATCTTTTTTTAATGGCAAACGAAAACAGCATCTAAACGTAGAATATACAGAAACGCTAATTCGTTAGTGTTGAGTAATGTAATGGCTCTTACTGCATCATTTTATATAAACAAATGAACATGTTCTGGATGCTCTGGAATACTTTTAATTTAATTTATTAATTTTTCTTATTTTTTTATTGGTTATAGTAGAGTAGATGTTCTATCATTACAGACTTTTTATTACTCTTTGAGTTTTCTGGCACTGAGACGAATATTTTGTATCGTTTAGCAAAAGTTTTTTTTTTTTTTTCTTTTAAATGGCAAAATGAAAGCACTGTCTGGCCGTAGAACATATACAAATGCTAAATGAGTCAAATTTGCTGAGTAAAATAGCAGCAGATATTATATTCCTGTGACTAATGCAATGTTGGACTTTGCGTACACCCATGTTTCAAAGAATATCTTACACTGTCTCATTTTGAAACATTGCTTACTTTTCATTGTTTGCTCGTTGAATTTTTATGAAAGACAGTTTTAATATTTTTTTATTTTAATTGTGTGTTGTGTTAAATAAAATCTGCGATTGTTTGGATATTTTTCCATATATATTTATTTGTGGGATAAGGGGAAAATTATATTATTCTAGAATGAGTATTTTATAAAATTTTTAAGGAAAATATAATAATAAAGGCTTAAAATTAAATCTGACGACTACCTGAATGTTCTTCTCATAACGTACCCAAAATTGGGAAAATTGGATGACAAATTTCACTTACAATAATTTTTTTCCAAAGTTAGGCTTAGCAGTGTAAATTGCCCGTCCCCACACGACGATGCATCCGGTTAAAGCGTCGTCCCGAGAAAATGCTTCGGTAACAGAGGTACCCGCCGCGAACGGGTTAATTGGCTTGGTTCACCTTTTAAGTAAATTAAGGAGTGATATTTAAGGATTTGAAAACCAGAGTTCATATGAACACTATGAAAGGTATATGGGGCATAATAAAAAGGGATTTTCGAAAGAAATGCCAGTCTGGCAGTACAGAGGATATTTTTGAGTCTCACTTTTGTGAATTTATGTGGTGACAGCAGTATACAGATTCTAGTTCAGATAATTTAAACAGTTTTTGAACATTGTTAAGGAATTCCATGTGCCACACACCAAGGACACAGAAATTTCTAAATAAGGTAAGTACTAAGTTCCTTTTGTACTGCCGAGATTAGATAACATGGATTTCCATTTTTATATTATTTTCTACTTTTATTTTGATTTAAAATGCAGTTTATTGGGATTATAATTTTTTTATGTGTTGATTATGTTTTGAACGCCATTTTACTTTGGAGCGGGTTGCACATAAACAGGAATGGTGCCACAAAAAATCAACAATTTTTGCCAAGAGGGACTCTGAAATATATTTTTCCCAAAGATTATAATTTCTTAAACTATTTCTCGATAGCACGTGACACTAGCAGCATTCAGAGGCAAGATAAATGAAATAACTTTGATTTTGCTTTGTGAGCGGAAGAGTGGGCAAATCTAGAGCAGGAATATTTCTCTTTGATCACAAAAATATATCCCCTGCTTGTTTATAAGTGACATTTTGAAAGAAGAATAAAAAGTAGCAGACATTATTTCTCATTTCAAATAATAAGCTGTTGTCAAAAATTTTTGTTCAAAAATATCTGCTTTTTTTTTAATTCTTTATCGAAATCATTCTAAAAAAAGTAAACACACTCTACAAACACATACAGTTGAATTACAATAAACAATTATTTAACTGCTTTTTATTGATTTTTAATTAACACATTTTGTGCAGTCTATCAAATGTACGCAACTACGTTGCCTAGCGGTAATATGAATAATAGTAATATACGATGTAATATGAAAACTTCATAAATGCAGTGTTATCAACTAATGTGTTGAGGGATATGTAAATGTCTCAGCACATAAGAGATAGTTATACAAGTTGATTACAAATACGCTGACTAAGTTAAAAATCTGTTCTAATAAAAATATTAATCCATATATTATATGAAACATTATTTTTTCCCTTGTGTCACTTAAAAGTGGTGATTTTAATCGGGTACTAATACCTGCCCCGCTTTTAAACGGCAATCCACGAAGTCCCAGTGGCAATCTGCGAAACAAGTACAAATACCTGCTCCCGCTCATAATGTGTTAATTTAAGTCAAATTTAAACTATAACTGAATGTATTACCTGCAGCAGGAGAACTGGCAAGTCGAGCTTCTCTAGCCTGCAGCTCATTTGCTTTCCTTTCAAGTTCCTAATGAAACAAAATTCAGTCTTGTAACAAACAATGAGCACTAAATTACATTATTTAGAATGCAATTTTTTCATTAACATACACTAAACTTATAACATACTCAAAATTAAATTTTTGGAAATTACTTCATGCTTACATACGAGCAATCTAACACTTTTCAATACCATTACAAAATATAAACCTAAAATTTTTAACCTCTTACTAATCATTCTTACTATCATGTTACTGTGATCACAGTAACATCACAGTTAAAGTGATCCCAGTATAATACTAAGTCTGATCATTTCCCATTTATCACTACGATGGGCTGAGATGCTCATCTCTTTCCTTGTATCCACGATATTGTTCTACAAAAGCACTGAAAACGTTATACACTAAATACTCAATTATTTAGGAAATCTAGAGAAAAGGCTCAACATTTTATACCTTACTAGAACAGATAACACCTTGAGTATGGTTTTGTAATATTATATGATTTATATAGGACAATTTGCCAGAAATTTGTTTAGAGTATAAAAATGGTTTTTCGATCTTAAAAAACATTTGCTGTTTACTCTGTTTGTACCCGTTGCAGAATTATATAATGCAAATATTCTGGATAATTGCATGAATTATTACAGCATACTCAGTAAAGACTAAACTACGTAAATACTTTTTATCACATAGACAATGAAGTTAATGAACAGAAAATGAATGCAAGATTACCAGCATAGCAACAAGTACTATTAAGGAAATTTATAAAGAATACAACTACTTTCTATTGAGTTACCTGAGCTGCTTTTAAAATTGAAATATGCAAAAAAGTAAAATGATTTATTACTTCTATCTTATGGCAGAAACAAACAATTACTAATACACATAAGCAATTAAGTCAGTGCCTACAATATACACAGGCAGAAGCAATTTAATATATTTTTATATTTATAATATCATGTTATACAATTCTACAAGCAATTAATCTAAATAAACATATACTTAAAATTTATCTTAAACAGACACTTTCAGATGACCACAGTTCATTAACTGATGCTAATATGTCAAGCACATTTTCATGTTCAAACATGTTATCGCGATTACAAGTGGCTACTCCTGTGCTTTCTGTGCTGCCATTTTGCTAGCCCCATAAGATAGAAGATTTAACATATTAGCTACCATGTATGAGAATACTTGTAGTTGGCAAACTGGATTTGTTTGCCAGCTATGAAATAACTTGTTATGGATTGCCTTACCCAAATGACCAAGTACGGTTAATGACGTAGTAAATACATGGAATGTTTAGGTGTTTGGCTTGTAGGAAGGAATTTAATAATACATTTGACATATTGAAATGGATCATTTATTCCTCAAAATATAGTTATCAAATCATTTATTTCTCAAAACTCAATGAGTTAAATATTTACAATGTAAAACCATTTTTTATGGGGTCACTTGAGAAATGTTATTAACAGGCAGCTCCAATTTTTGTTCAGTCATTAGTGCAGGATTAATGGAAAATAATATATCACACATGATGAGTTTGCATAAATTCACATAAAAAGGCGAGTATTTTTAAAATTCCAACTTACCTCATAGTTGCCACAGCAAGACAAAAAATTTCATGTGCCAAGTAAGAGTATACTCGTGTGAATTGAGTCACTACTAAAGTAATTTGTTATATTTCCATTTAAATAATAAAAGAAAATAATTTAAAAGCATAAAAATGAAGATAGAATCTCAGTGTCTGAGTGTAAATAGATATAATTAATCAGCTTTGCCTGTGAATGGATTAAAACAATAATCATCATCCTCAGCTGCGGATGATGGTTCAGTAAAACCATCGAAACTAGTCCTGTGAAAATTTAAAAATATAACGCTGATTTTTGTTGTTTGACTTCTAAATTAATATTTGTTGAATGTGTTATTGTATCTTAAGCATAGTAAATATTTAACATTAGAAAAATAAGAAAATTTTCCGTAGCTGAAGAAACAAACTGTGCAGATCAATGATCATACACACTGAATGATGAGCCTGTACCGAATGGTAACACTCTGCTTCTTGCTAAGGCTAAAATGTGCTTATTCCTGTTTTTCATCAAGGCTGCTATAACATAGAAGCACTAATGGTTTCATAAGATGTGAATATGACAATCTTTTATTCTTTTCTACTAACCCTTTTCATTAAAAAAAAAAATTCACAGCAGAATTTGTAATTGATAAGGTTTCTGGTTTTTTTTCTGTAATTGAAAAGGTTAAAAAGAAATTTAATTTACAGGAAAAGTACATCCCACAATATAAAAACAGATGTATACAATTCATCCAAAAAATATTTTCTAGATGCTTTAGAACACTAATCAGAGATTTAATTTCTATAGAAAATAAGTCAGAGAGACTAACAAAAAATTACTTTCTATTCAACCGAAATAAGGTGCCCCCCCCCCAAAAAAAAAAGAATAACATAGAAATCTTGATGTGATTCAAACTATAGTACTCGGTAAAGTGACATAACAGCAAAGTGAAAATTTTTTTTTTGACCCAAATTTACACAGTTAAAACATTTATTTAGTATCTAGTGAGAAAACTCTAGAAGAGTTTTTGTGATTATCTACACATACCTGAAAAGTATTCACAAGACAATTAAGTACATCACCAAAATAGATAACCATTGATGTTGCCAAAATCTATTTATGTAACAACCCAGATATGCATGCATGCATGCATAGCAGATGAGTACCAATTTCTACCATCAAATTCAACTGTCATTTGTGTTTGTTTTTGTTGAATAGAGTGGATTTTTTGGCCTTACAAGGTATCACTTAGGAATGTGGAATTTTCTGGCTAATGGAAAAAAAAAATGCATTGCATTTCTTCAGAAATATAACTTTTTGCCTAAAAATAAAGAATATAAAATTCACTTTCCATGAAGTTGTGCTTTGTAAACGATCGAACCGAACACGGTGACAAGTTGTTCGTGACGCTGAGTTTCTGTAATTCTTAATAATCCTGGTATTTTTAAAGCTAAAACAGATCCTGTGCACATGCAAAGACAGCGAAAAAAGATAAGCATTTTATTAGACATTTTTCTAGCATTTTTAATTTTGTTAATTGGTTGCTATTTTATGTAATTCTTAGTATGGCACCATTTTTTAAATGGATGTTATCTCTGGTGAAAAATTAGTCACCAACAATTGCAGAATTTTGGGGATAGAGTGTGGATAATCAAAATGTACTGTTTTTATTTCAAAACACCAATAGTTCTCTAAAATGCAACTAATTTTCCTTTACCATTCAATAATCTCAATAACTAAAAGTGGAAAGTGTCAACTTGAAATTTAAATTCAATCTAATCTTTACTTTCACCATGAACTTGAAAAATGCTTCATACCTCTTGTCTCCGCTGCAAATCACTAGTCATTGCAGATTCACCTGCAGCCTGTGTATAAGGTGGCGGATTTTGGGAAGGTTGTTGCATTTCAGGTGAATGAACTGCAGAATTTGATGAAGGATTATTCACTGAAGAATCCCTTTCTGAAGCAACAATCTAAAAAACAAGAAAACTTATGGCAGAAAACAAAAATTTATGATAACTTTTAAAACAGTAATTAAAAACCTTTAAAAACTTGTAGAGACATTAGGATTTTTTGGAAGCCAGAGAGATGAAAAATTAACAACTGCCTTCGCCGGGAATCGAGCCACGGACCTCTGGAATACCGGCCCAGCATGCTACCGTTACACCACGAAGGCACGCTAGGGAAGTGGGAGAAATACCTTATAAACTGTAATTTGAAATACAGTATTAAATGTGTAATACATAACACAGAAACCAAATGGTAATCCCCTTGAAGGAAGATTTCTACAAAACCTCATTTTTTAAATTTCATATTAATATACTAATCTTATATTGGTTCACTTTAATAAATAATCTTTAAATATTTTATTAGATAATATCTTCTTTAATAGAAATATTAATATTACTAATACCATACTTTGCAAAAAAGTAGGCTTAATTTCTTCTTCTTCTAACGTTCATATACTTATGAAAAAATTTCTAAGCTACGCAACATACAGCATTAGAACATCATTTTATTATATAATAATGCTGTATAGGTTCATAATAATTTTTTTCTCATATTGCAAATTAAATTTATATCAATTAGATACAGTATTAAAATATTAAGAAGTGCATCTGTAACATTTCAGTTGCTCCCATTGACAAGAAATTACAGACTAACTAAACTTCAGACAAAAATTTAAGACCTTGCACCTAGTAAAATGATACTACTTTTCATAACTAGCTATTATTAGGTCATGAGGAAGGTAAACACCACACATTTCATTCAACAGCAACATCTGACAAGTTCCTCAGATAACATATAGATAATAAATGCACTAAAGCATACAGTAACGTATCAGTCCAAAAATTTTGGAAAGATGCCACTGAAGTTGTTTAACTTTAAAATTTCATATCAAGTATATCTAGAGACTATTCTGGTCAATTAATTATACGCAAATTATTTAGAGGAAATTTACAAAGAATCACTAAGTAAAAGATAATGGTGCAAACTTTTGCCACCAGATGGTATTTTTAAGTTAAAAACTTAGGCAAATAAAAAAAACATGTTTACAGCAGAATGTTAGACTACTCCAAGGATGAGCAAACTACAGCCCGCGTGCCAACTCTGGCCTGCCGGAAAATTCTATCTGGCCCGCAGATATAATTTTAATTTGCTGGTCCAAGGCAAATTAAAAGAAATATATATTATACATTCATCTCCTTTTCTACTTTGTTTAAAAAAAAGAAAACTTTTTTCTTCCTTTCTTCAAAGGTTTGATGATCTTTTTACTTTCTCTATTTTTGTTCTACAAAACATAAATTGACAGAAATAGCAAGCACAGACGGCTTTCAATCGGTAAAGTGTTAAAAGCGGAAGTTCTTTGCTAGATATAGCTGCAGATTATTGGTTGCTACACATGCAAGTTACATTACAGCATACAATATTGCTAAACATAATAAAGCTTTCGGTGATGGGAAGTTCATTAAACAATGCATGCTCCAAGTTTGTGAAGTTTTATGGGACTATAAGGTTATCTCGAAAAACAGTGACTTCTAGAATCGGTAATGTGTTAAAAATCGGTAAAGACATCGATAAAAATTTGACATCACAATTAGAGTCAAAATTGGCCAGTTTAAATTTTGCTCCTTAGCTATCTATGGTTGAAATCACTAATATAAATGATACTACTCAAGAAGTAGTATTATTTTTAAGAGATGTTGATAAGAACTTTGAATTTACCAAGGAACTGGCTTGCATGCGTTCTTTAAAGGGAATTACAGCGTGATGTGATATTTTTCGTGAATTTCAGGGAAGGCTTTTAACTTTGAAAGTGCCTATAACAAATATATGTAATATTATGGCAGATGGAGCTACAAATAGGAAAAAAATCTGGATTTCTTGAACTCTTCAACCAAAACTATCCTCGGAAAAATGTTGTTTTTCTAAAATGTGTTAAACATAAAGATGATCTGTGTAAATCTGCATTGAATACAAAACCTGTGTTTGATGCAGTCATGAAGCTTATAAATACTATTTGATTGGTGGACCTATCCACAAGCAGTTTCGAGATTTTCTTCAGTCCATGCAATCTGAATAGTTTGAGGTACTGTATTACATGAAAGTACAGTGACTTAGTGCAGAATGCATTTTCGAGCAAGTTCGGCAGCTGAAAGACGATACTGTGTCGTTCTTCCATGAGAAACAGTGTTCTGCGGAGTGCAAAATGTTAGAAGAGAGAATGGTTTTCAGACTTTGCATTTTTCACAGATCATTTTTGTCATAGCAGCAACTTGAATGTCAAGATGCAAAGGAAAAAAAATCAATTTATCGACGATATCTGGGCCCGTCTTAAAGCTTTTAAACTAAAACTTAATCTGTTTGCTGGGCAGTTAGCTAAGAACAACTTGTCTCACTTCCCAAGGTTAAATTCAATACCCTCAGTAAATGAAGAGAAGCTTAATTATGAAGATGGCTTGAAAAAACAGCATTTTGAGTTCAAACGCAGATTTCAAGACTTTGGATCCAAACAGAATTGGATATTTTTACTATGTCTTTCAACATAAATTGTGAAGCAGTGAGATCAGATTTTCAGCGTGAATTAATTAAGTTGCAATCTAACAATCATCTCAAGCAGTTGTTTCTAAATATGCCAAATTTAGAGTTTTACAGATTATTATCGAAAGTAAGTTTCCCAAATTTAATATATGACGCGCAGAAAATTAGTGCTATGTTTGCTTCATCTTATATATGTGAACAAGTGTTTCCAACTATGAACCTTTATTTTGGAAGAAGACAGATAACCATTTAGCCTCGTTCCTTAGAATCAGTACATCTCACTTTGAACCTCAATATAAACCTCAATATAAGGAACTTTTAAAAATGAAATTGCAATTTCATTCATCTCATTATCATATTTAACTTGTAATACTTGTACATTGTTTTAAAAAGTTTAGAAAAATTTATCTTGGCCTGCCAAACTTTTATTTTTTCGATTTTTAGCCCATGACCAAAAAAGTCTGCCCATCCCTGGACTACTCCTAGAATAGCATTTGTGATAATATTGAAAAAATGTGCATATTTACATACTACCATCCTAATACAAGACAGAACTCTTTCCTACAGGGTTATTCTTATTGAGTTCACAAACATGTTACACATGGAGCTTCTCATATTCTCTTATTCCAAATACAAAATCTCAACTCCTCCAAATGTGGGAAACTTCCGTTTCTTAAAAAGTGTTTATCAGAAATGTTTCACATTAGAGCTGAAGATCAGCATAGTACAATGTCTCTCTCAGATTCTTCCAAAAGTGCTATAAATTGTAGGTGATAATGAAGACTTGATTCAAGGATCTTACATTAAGCACACAATTTTGTAATCTTATTTTTACAAGACAATTTTGCGTACATTCTGCAGTCATCTCTCCCCATAGCAGCATATATGTTTCTGACTTCACAAATTTGTCCCTTCACTATTTCCTCATTTCTCTTTGTTATTTGAATAGTACTCATGCTAAATTTCACTTTATCAGTCAATTAAAACAGCTGCTATTCATCCTTGTCGTTGCGAGTTTAATAATAACCAGCCCTTCTTTATCTAAAGGTCATCTTCTTAAAAGTCTACGCAACAATGGGCACATAAATTTACCAAATTTGAAGGCATATAAGACTCACTTTTTTCCCTAAATTTGGTCTCAAAAAAGTTACCCGAGTCTTATACATGAAGGACACAGGTTAACTTTCAATACTGAATGCTATTTTTAGCCCGGATAAAGGTCTAGACACACATAACTTTTTCTACATCTACATGTGTGTGGCCTTCTAAATAAGGGTGCGTCTTATATGCCGTCAAATACGGTAATTAAAAGTATAAAATTGTGTAATTTGTATTCACTGCATTAAACATTAAGCTGGGGGAGCTAACCTTTTCATACAACAAAATCCTTCACAACAGCAAATTAGTAACTCTTAAAACTTATGTGATAGATGGTACTGATGAAAAACACATCAAGTCAGATTTGCACATGTCAAGACCTTACTTTGCATATAAAAACATATGAATTTCAGTTAAATAGGATGAAGAGCTGAAAAACACTTGAGATATATGACGTTTACAAAAAAAGCATGTAATAAATAATGTATCAACACAAATTAATATTAGAATAAATGTGCTGCTAAAAACAATTATTTCCATAAATAAAATAATTCATAAAATTTAATAAACATGTCTGATGACCCAATGACTTTTTTACTGCACAAAATTTCTTCATTGCAAGGTAATATTTTTTTTAATCCTTACTTTGGAACTAGAATGCATTCCCCAATAGTCTATTTACTCTCAAATTTATAACCCTTTCTGTGTTGAGTCGAAAACTTCTATCAAACTTGCAATTCATATGTTATTTTATAACTTCAATTAAACTGTGATTTTATAACTTCATCTATTATATAAGTGACTTATTTAGATTTGAGAGTTATTTTAATACCCCTTTTGAAAACAAATGGACAAAAAAATTAGGAGGAATTGCATAACTTTCATCGGAGTTAAATAGCATTAGTTGGAGTATAACAACACTTTAAAAAGAAAACAGATACAAAATCCCTTAGAATTTAATCTTTTACATGGATTTTAATAAAGAACATTTTTGACGACATGTACAACTTAATAAAAATACACCAAAAAGATTAGATAGGCAAAAAATATGATACAAATAGACAAAAAAATATAAATACACTTATAAAGTTAGGCATAAATATGCATACAAAATATAATACCTGCTTTCTTGTTCTACTCTGATCAAATGGGTTATAAGTTTCTACAGAATCTTGATTAACAGCTGACTGTTCAGTCAAATTTTTAACACTGGGATCCTGAAATTTAAAGACTTAAAATTAATCAATAAAAGTCAACTCAAGCCTTTTGCACTCTGGAAATCATCTTAATTAGTACTGACAATAAGCAGTTAACATATAAAAATCAACAGTACATATGCTTAAAAAAATACCTGCAACTATTTTATTCCACTTAAAATACCTCAAATAAAAATAACATTGCTCATAAGTTCATATGCAAGTTCAAAATCCTTCATAAAAAAATACTTTAAAAATTGCAAGGTCATCTTACCTTAGGCAACCTTACATTTAAACCAATAAATACAAAATATTCAAATATAATATCCACAGAGGTCTCAAACTTTGCTTAATAGTTTCTCAAACTACAAAAGGTACAAAAGTTAATTCCAGAGAATATGTAAATAGCTCTTACAGAATACTGATAAAATGAGAACAAATCTAGGCAAGAAGGTTTGACTATACATTATACACTCATATTTGTCTTAATTAAGAAATGGACTCGTACATGGAAAATTTCAACTACACAACCAAATCAAGACAGAAAAGAAACATGCCAAAATAAAACACAAAATCAGACAAAATGACAACGTTGTGCTTGGCATAGATTTTAGTAAAGATGTTATGATTTCAAGAGCAAAACAAGTGTAGGTCCATCTTCATCAGGAGCAAAAAAATCTGCAACGAAGGGAAAGCCATGGCTGTAAATTCTCAATTACATTATGTTTGATTATGAAGTCAAAAGGGGCAATTCTCAGCTAGGTTACATAGCTAGGTTACCATTTTCACTTACTACAAAGACTTGAACGCCAAACAGTAATCGTTTATCACTGAGATTGGGATCGTGTGATCCTTCAGAAGCAGAACTTTCGTCTGATTGATTGATCTCTACGTGGCACAGAGATGCAGGCAAAATATTTTCGGCGAGATTTGAAAATCCCAAGTAGCCAGTACATCATTTCTGTAGCTAGGCATGACTTTGCTTCCAGTGGGGCTTTTTTTCTAGGAATCCTCCTGTTTAAACCAGTGCTACCAGAATCTCGTTTCTCAGAAAAGTCCCATCTAACAGGGACCGCCGCTAGATGTGATAACCTCTTAAGTGAATGAGAAGATAGTGTCACCAGTCAGCAAAAATAATAATGAAAATTGAAAAATTAAGTTAATAGAATTTCAAAAGTGTTAGGTAGGACTGGATTAGAATTACATTAACTAAACAATATAAATCCTTGTGAATGTGAAAAGCTTCAAGAAAATTTAATTCACTAATGGAAGAAGTTTTTGGATAACTTTTGTGGACTTAAAAAGTCAAAATGTGATTAAATTTTCACTATGATTAGCCATTGAAGATTTATGAATTCTGCCTTTTCGAAAATAAGATTTGTCAAGGAATACGAATCTTACTAGTTTTTAATAAAATCTACGTCAAACATAAGGTTGTTACTTTTCCTAATTTTACATGACTAAATATTAGAAATCTATTGTGCTTACAAAAGGACATAGTTCAAGAATTGCAGAATCACATTTGTGGCTACTCTACAACTCATTTACAGCTGGTCCAGAGAATTAACATCTGTTCAATATGGAAAACAAGGCCAACAAATCAGTAATGGGTTAGAAGAGTCTCCTGCAAGAAGTCAATTAAAACTTGGAGCATTGTACTTGAAGCATTGTACTTGGAGCATTCTAAACAAAGCTTTTGATAAAATCAGAAGGAATTACAACATATTAGAAATGAAAGAAAGCTTTTTTACAAAGCACAAAAGTGAAGCAGATGGAATACTCATTGTTCATTAAATAAAAAAAGCATTAGTTTCTTCAGAATTCAGGTGGAAAATTTCAGCAATTTTGGCTGGATTTCTGGCAACAGGATATTACATAAATACTTAAGGGGGGAACTGAAGTCATTAAATCCAGGACTAAAAATATAAACTCAACACTAAGCAAACAAAATAAACAAAAAAATAATTTGTTATTTTCTGATCACCCCCATCTCCATTAGAATGTTAGGAAAAAAGTATTGATGAGACATGTCACCAAAAAATAATTTCATACTATTCGCCATATTACCAAAAAGTATTTATGCGATAACTCAGGTAAGCGCTAGCCAACCCATTTTTGCACTTTTGAAAATCAACAGTTGTTTAGCTGATTAGCAAAGGAAATATTTGTTATTTTTGTAGGGACTCATAACAGAACTGTGGTTCTAGTGATAAAAAAGCATTGCATTTCTTCAGAAATATCGCATTTTGATTTAAAATAGGGAAACAAAACTATGAATTAAATGAAGCTGCATTAAAGGATTGAATTTCATAAAAATGTAATATGAAAAATTGCAAACAAAGCATTAGAATTCAGGTCAACAACTAGTTTGAAGACAGCCATCTTTTGTTTCCATTTATAGATCTATTTGTCTAATTTATTGTCAGGCAAAGGAATACATGCCAGTGAAATTCTGTGAAAAAAATGCAGTTGTTCCCAAACATAATTATCAGCTAGTGTAATTACCTCTGAGAAGTGCGCATGATTTCTGTGAAAAAATAATGCAAAAATATCTGATGCGGACACCACGACTTCCTTGTACAAAATATACAATTATACGCATTTTTTGTTGCATTTCATTTAAACTTATTTCCTTGAATTTCATTATAGATTTCTCATTCAATTAATTGAGTTCTCACTTCGTGGCAAGGCAAAAATACATAAAATCTCAAAATATCTTCGTTAAAAGTTGAAAGGCATAGAAAAACACTGAATACAGAAAAATTATTTTTACAATTAAAATTAGAGTTTCTACACAAAAACAAACAATTTGTCCAGCAGGGAAAAAGGCAGATTTTTCAGTAGACAAAACTTAAAGTTTCCTTTTGGTCCTAATTGCAAAAAGACATTGAAAGTGCAGACTCGGTTCACTATTCTGCTAAGTTTCAAATGTAAACAAATATGGCTGATATAGTAAAAGAAAAATTAGGCTTAGTGACACTTAAACAACTTTTAAATTGTTCCTAATTCTACAACTATTGCATGCATATTAACTAAAGGCATAAGGACCTTAACCAGAAGATAAGAACACCATAATTCAAATCATTTTTAAAGCCCAAATGCACAATACATCAAGATATAAGAATAAAAAAAATTGAGCTCATTGAGCCGAGTAACAGAGTGGGTTTATATATATATATACAGTGGTGGCCAAAATTGTGGACACTTTTGGAAATTTTTATGTTTTTGAACTTTGTATGCTTATAGAAAATGTTACGTTTCGCAAAATGCAAACTTGTATATATCATTTTAAAGAGAATTTATTACTGAATTCAATACAAAATTCAATTATTTGCAATACAAAAAAAAGTTATATGTACTTTAATATAAATAAAACCCACAGTTATGAAGTGGTTTGTAATGTCTAGTTTTCTTAGCCAATCACTGTTCTTGTTCTGAGAACCAATCAAATGTTAGTAACTGCCAGTAGAAGCTGACCTCATGTTTACACTTGAAACAATTCATTATTTTGCTTTGTTCTGTAAAAGGAGGATCTGTTTCTTATGCACTGTAATTACAAGTAGGAATTTTTGTAAAAATTTTTTAATATTTAGTCAAGAAGCAATGACATCAAATAAAAGAGTAGATTGGACACCTAGAAAGAGATGTAATATTATTGTGTTATGAGAGTAATTAAGTGGTCTTTCCTATGCTGAAATTGCAAGACAGGTGGGGTGGTTCAGTGACTACATCTGGAGTCCGAAAGTTTTGTTTACGATATCAGGAGACAAATTCAATAAAAAACAAAGAAGGAAAAGGCCGAAAAAGGTGCACCACATCTATTGATGGCAGAAGAATAAAAAAGACTATGTCTCCAAGATAGAAAAATGTCATCAGCGGCCATCAGAAGTGATCTGAATGATGCTGGTGTTTCTGTCAGTTCAAGAACAATCAGAAGAAGATTAACAGATGTTGACTAAGAGGTAGAATTCCACGAAAAAAACCTTATCTTAATTTTACTACAGTGGGCAAAGGAACACATTAATTGGACAGATGATCAGTGGTCACAAGTTATATGAAGTGATGAAACTAAGATATCGTTATTCAGTAGTGATGGGCGAAAATATGTAAGACATAGAATAGAAGAGCTACATCCTGACTGCATTCAAGCAACTGTGAAGAACACAGTTAGTGTTATGATTTGGTCATGCATGTCAGCAGATGGTATTGGTCGCCTTCATGTCATCGATGGGACACTGAATGCCAGAAAATACACTGACACTATTCTAGAAGCAAAACTTATTATATTAACTTCCATCAGAGATCTCTTTCCCAAAAATGCTTCATTTATTTTTCAGCAGGATTCTGCTCCTTGCCACACGGCCAAAATATCGAAAGAGTGGTTTCATACAAAGAGCATTAAATTGTAGTCATGGTCAGGAAACAGTCCTGACCTCAATCCTATTGAAAATTTGTGGCACCGTTTGAAAACTCTTGTCCGAATGAGGCACCCATCAAATAAAAAGGAACTAATTGAGGTTATAATTGTTTCCTGGCATCATGTAATAATGAAAGAAGAGCTTAAAACTCTTGTCAGCTCAATAAAACGTCGATGTGAAGCTGCAATCAAAAATAAAAGGTACCCTACTAAGTACTGATAACTCACTGCAATCATCACTATCTAATGCATATTGATAACTATTATAGTTTAACTTTTTTTTTGTATTGCAAATAATTGAATTTTGTGTTTTGTATTGAATTCAGTAATAAATTCTCTTTAAAATGATATATACAAGTTTACATTTTGTGAAACGTAACGTTTTCTATAAGCATACAAAGTTCAAAAACATAAAAATTTCCAAAAGTGTCCACAATTTTGGACACCACTGTATATATTCATACATTTTTGGTGTGTTTGATTGCAACCAAAAAGGGAGGCGCACAATTTCACTTTACACTGAGTAACATGGAATTGTAAAGTCATGGGATAGCAATATGCAAATATACAGATGGCAGTAGTATCGATAGAAAATGTATAAATG